ACATTGGGGACAAACTCCATGTTACGTGATCCCTAGCTAAGGATAGCCATCTTAAGGTTTTCATGAGCTACTCCATATGGGCTGTGGTATTATTTACGGATATGTTTTAGTGGAATTGTATTTGTGGTGCTTTATGTTTGTTGTATTGTTGATCAAATAAAGTTTTTCAGTTAGACACTGCTGTTACAAGTATTTAGTTTTGACGCTCAACCTAAGAGGACCCAGTTGAAGATAGACATTTCTACACATTGCAATGTAATTCATGCTGCGCTATCCTGATTGATCTAGTCGTTTGATTGTAATGATTATGTGACCATTGATGTCGACGTCACGCATAATGTGACGAAGCCGCTTTGATCCTATATTGATAATAGTGCAATCGCCCGAGAAATGTTCGGCGAAATACCTTTCAAGTGATAGCAATTTTTGAGGGCTCATAAGTTAACACAGATTTAAGGAATCATAGATGCCCTTTTAATCGGGGTGATTTTGTGATTTTTATTTTCTTATATAATTCTTATATGGGGCTTCATTATTATTATATCACTGTTTTTTTGGCATTTTTCTCTATATATCTATCTTATATTATTTTCAATTATATTTTATGTTTATTTTGTTTATCTTTGGTTATTAAATATTATATCATGGGGTCATGTGTCAATACTCGTCTAGTGTTCGTATATTTGTTGATTTATTGAAGTGGCTTAATTTACGATAAAGTACACCATCTATAAATAAGGGTTATATAGGGTCCCTGAACCTAGTGTTACACTTCCTCGTATTCTCTTCCCCCCATCTAAGGGGAGAAATTGCTAAGGAGAAAACCCCCTAAGGTTAGAGATCCAAAAAACCCAAAATCAAGATCAAGCAATGGATTCAGGTATAAGCTTCCGCTCTTTTAGATCTTTGTTAATCTTTTTGAATTAATCATGGCTATATGGTTTTAGATCTCAAGTTTTATGATGTAGATCTAACATGATCACCTACCCACAAACTATATATACGTCTTTGATGTCTTTATTTGTGTGAAATCATAGTTCGAATCAAACTCTAAATATGGCAATATGATTTTTGTTCATTCATTTGATCTTCTTTGAGTTAAAAGCTGTCATGAGAATTGTTCTTTATAAATAACCTGTACAACATGAAAACAAATAACGTGTATTATTACTGTTTGAAGTAGAGCATATGGGATTGAATCTTTGTTCATTTTTTCAGATTGAATTGCGGTATGCTGCACAAACTGATGCTCTTCAACCCCCTCATGAGTTTGTTCCTTGGGTGGTTGTTAATGGGAAACCTCTCTATGATGTAAGTCTTTAAAGTTTTTTACAGCTACATTTGAAGCTTTGCACATTTTAATTTGGACCTGTATTGTTAGTTTTGCTGCCAATACATAGCACATTTTAATTTGGACCGAATCGTGTTTCAACTACCCCTTGCCAAATGAGTTTTGACCTCTCCAAAATAGATGCAATTTTGTCCTTTCTTGTTGCCTTGGAAAGGTACAAAGTTAGTACAAAATTACCGGCACAAGTTTAGCTTGTTATACGGTGTGTTTGTCAATCCTTACAAAACTAGATTAGGATCAAATATGATTCTGATTTGTTCTAAACCAGTTATTTTGTACACTAGGGGGGTTAAGTTTGCAAAAGAATTAGTTTAGAAACCATTTTTTGGCCCAGGAAAAGTGGGGCCGATCTTAGCCTAACTTATGTTTAGGCACTCTTCTCCTCAAAATGGGACTCGGGCCAAACATAGTCTCATTTGTAGGCGTTTCTCAACATATTTTCAAAACAAAAATGATCGGTGTAGAATGTTATTTTAGTACTTACATTTTTTTCCATCAAAACATACAAGGGCAAAACCTACTATATGCATGTCATGGTATTGGCCACAAGCAATTAGTTTCCCATACCTTCGATGTTAGTTCCAATTCTCATTTGAAATATGAGAAAAGGATAATATATATCGCTAATGATGACTTCTTTTGTTTCCTGTGTAGGACTATAAAAACTTTGAAGCCTACATTTGCAAAGCTTATGATGGCGAGCTTCCAAAAGCATGTGAAGGAATTCTCCTTGAAATTCCCCAAGAAAAGATAGGAAACAAAGAAAGCCAAGCTTGCCGTAAGAATGAAATGATCCGTTCGTCTCCAATCGCAAAAGATCATGAAGCGAAGATAAATATGTTGATCTAGACAAAGGGGTCTTTGTTTAGTTCCCTGATTCAACAATTTTCAGTATCTAATAATGTTTCGGGAATTATGTTTTGTACATTAATCAAATATGGCATGGTTGTAATCAGGACCATAGTGAGCAGTTGGAAGGAAAATCTTCTTTATGATTTGTTAAGTTTCATTTTAACCTTGTTTGGGAGTTTCTTTTAAGGGGTTAGAGGGATGAAATGGAAGGTTAAATTTTC